TTCCTGTTTAAAGGAAGTGGCAGAACAACCTTCCAATGTGGAATAAAAAGTCTCCCTATCTGTCTGATTTTAAATCGCTCCTAAAAACTCATCTGTTTGCTTTTTCTTTCAAAACTATGGAAGATGTTTATTTTAGGCTGTGATAAATTATTTTTTATATTATTATAGATTTTATAGTTCTGATTTTAAGTTTGTTATGTCTTTTATGCTGTTATGTTTGTTTGTTTTTTGTCTTGTGAGTCCCTGTGATGGTTTGATGTTGTTTGTAGAGCACTTTGGTCCTTCCAGATATTTTAAAGTGATTTATAAATAAAGCTGGACTGATTTGCTGAAGAGTCAATCTATTATTTCCTTTCTCTAGCGGCCCGTCCAGAATCCTGCTGAGTTTCACTCAGCTGGTTCACAACTCAGGTCACCTCAGGTCACTTTATAGATCTAAATCAATCAGATCATCCAGTCAGATTACAGGTTCAAAGTGTCCCTTGTTAAGCAAAGCTCTGATCTGACTGGATGATCTGATTGCTTTGGATCTATAGTGAGATGAGCCATAGAAACAGCCCGGATCCAGGTAGGAGGTCAGCTCAGGCCTGAAGTGAAACTAAAACATCTTTTTGTTGTTTTGTTTCCTCTTTGCTGCAGTTTATGAGAAGTCTAACCAGCACATTCTAGAAGCAGCATTTCTACAGCATGTTCTGTCCTGCAGAGCTAAGGCGGCTGAGAAATTCTTTTAAGGCCAAATGTTCTGAAAGTTTGGAGATAAAAAGAGGAAAGTAAACCGTGATAAGGGAGCAGGACTGGGTTACTAATGGTCAGAGCGGTGTAAGTGACGTCACAGTCACATGACACCGTGCGTTGTGTTTGAGTTGAGTTGGATTTTCTGGTTTCCAGGGAAACTAAGCCAGATATGGAGAGGCTCTCTGTTTCAGAAACATGTTGGATCATCAGCAGCAGATGAAACTCTGCTGATTAAAAATAGACTACCCCCCCCATCGTTACAGATTATAAGAAAAGACGTTCTGTCCCTTTAAGCCGGAAACAGCAGTAAATCCCACAGCCCTTGAACGCACCAGGGGCAGTTTAAAGCCTGTTGTTTTCGCCGCTCCAGCCGCTCCAGCTGCTCCTCTGCCTCCCGCCATGTTCGACCTGCAGGGCGGCTGGAACCTGTCCTTTGCGGGCTGCGGCTTCTTGGGGATCTACCACATCGGAGTGGCCAGCTGCCTGCTGGAGAAGGCCCCCTACCTGGTGAAAGGGGCCACCAGGCTGTACGGAGCCTCCGCAGGGGCCCTCACTGCCGCAGTGCTCGCGAGCCAAGCATGCATCGGTAAGCAAACCAGGAGCTGCTGCTTCCTCAGCTGTTAAACATCCTGAGAGGAAAGAAATGAAGCTGCTGCATGTTGGAGTAAAATCTGCTTGTTTGATGAATCAGAGGCAACTAGAAGCTGAATGACCTCTGACCCCAGACCAGAGTCCACTCAGCTCCCTGACTCCTCTACCTGATCTCTTCCAGCTAAATGCTGCGAGGACGTCATCGAGGTGGCGAAGGAAGCCAGGAAGAGGAACCTGGGTCCGCTCCACCCCACCTTCAACCTGGTGAAGGTCCTGAGGTCCGGCCTGAACCGGGACCTGCCCTCTGACGCCCACCTCCTGGCCTCAGGCCGCCTCTGCGTCTCCTTGACCAGAGTGGCTGATGGGGAGAACGTGCTGGTGTCAGAGTTCAGCTCCAAAGAGGAGCTCATCCAGGTCTGCATGGTGGTCCTGCTGGAACATCTGGAGATGTTCTGACCGGTTCTGATTAACCCTGTGCTCCGTCTGCAGGCGCTGATCTGTAGCTGCTTCATCCCCATCTACTGCGGACTCATCCCTCCGTCCTTCAGAGGAGTGGTAAGCCTGCGGTCGCCATGACGATGGTTGATCTAGTTGCTGGTTGGATGGAAAGGTCAACATCAGGAGATGTTTTCTGGAGACCCCCCCCTTACGTTCCCCTTATGGCTCCCTGGAGCTTTTTCAAAAATGTAGGAAAAACAGATTTGTTTGTTTGTTTGTTTTAATTTGGTGCAGGAGGTCAAACAAAAAGAATGATGTTTCCCAGTGCTGTAAACATTTATATGATAAATAAATGTAAACAATAATTAGCGTCATAGCCATAGAGATCAGTGGTCATAACTTGTAGCCAGTGCGGCACGGTGCCAGGTGTGTCTCTAACTATGGATCCTAAAGGGAAAAAAGGAAGATGGCTGATAAGCAAAGAGGATTCAAAGAATGGAGCCAATCATTTGCTTTCATTATATGCTTTGTAATGAGAGGTTGTCAAAAAATAAACATTTGGAAAGGCATTTCGAGGGAAGGCTACATCTGCAGCCCACCACCAAGCTAGGAGGGAGAGAAAAAGTGTGATCGCAGAACTTCTGGATAAATTAGAGGAGAGCAAAGATTTAACAAGTGGATTGCATCTCCAAACTCCACTACTGCTGCTAGTTTGGTTGAAGCATAGAAAACCATTCATAGATCCTACAGGTAGCGCTCTGATGCAGGGATGGGAATTTTCTGCCATTTTTAAAAAATCTAAATCACACCAAGGAACGCTGGTGACAGAGGATGTGGGATTTCAGGGTTTCAGAGAGCTCTGCTCTGATGATGTCACTTCCTGCTTGGTTCCTCAATCAACTTCTCCCAACAGAAACACTTCTGGGTGGTCTCTATAAACACGGCCCATGATTGGGGTCTAGGTGGTCTTTATAAACACCGCCCGTGTTTGGGGTCTAGGTGGTCTTTATAAACACCGCCCGTGTTTGTGGTCTAGGTGGTCTTTATAAACACGGCCAATGTTTGGGGTCTAGGTGGTCTTTATAAACACGGCCC